GTTCGAGTGAATAACAGAAAAGGCGGCGTAGAATAGGGGCTAACTCCAGGGCACACATCTTCAGGACGACAGGTGAAATACCGTCCGGACCGGGTGGTTTACAAACATCCAGACCGCGAAGAGTTTGGCGGACCTTGCTGGTTGCTATGATAGTAGAAAGGAATGACGGGATGTGTAGGAGGAGGGTTGAACAGGAGGAGCAGCAGATAAGGTGGAGTTGGAGGCAAACCGAGAAGCGAAAACCTCTGCTTTTTCGTGGGGATCACAAACAAGTGTACCAGAGGAATTGCAAATAGGAGGAAAGTTGGGAGGGCAGAAATTACGTGAAACCGCTTTACCGAGGGACCAGAATGTTCGGTTACCGCGGGCGGAAGAAGCCAAGCGCGCAGCTTCGTGACAAATGAAACGTTCTTTAGCTCTCTGAATAATGATCGAGCATTTGTTTCTCGCTTGCACGAAGCGGTTGCGGGATGCTGAATTGGGTGAGTGGCTCCAACGACTGAATGTTGAGTTTTTAAAACGTACAGCACGGCTGCAAGCGTGACCAAACCACTCAGGGGATCGTGTTTTTCCGGGTTTGGAGAAGATAAATACCCTGAAGAACAATCTCCGTGAAGTTTGAAACAGACGTGGATACATCAGATTTGAAACAACAGTCCTTCCAGGGATAGCAAGCCGGAAAGTCACGAAAACCGTCCCAGTTGGCTGGATCGTGATGCCAAAAGGTGCGCCTGGAGTTTGGTGGTGAAACGGATTGAGAGAAATGAGTGAGAAAAGAAATGAGACAATGGTCCGATGAGCCTGATGGGGAAAGGGCAGTGATGCTGGAGAAAGAAGAAGGAATGGGTGTGAGAATGAGGTCAAGGGTGTGGGCGCGGTCACCAATGCGATCAGGGATGCGTGTGGGGGAGGTCAACTAGTTGACTTAGGTTGTTGACCACAGCATCCCATGATGGTGGTGTCTGAGGAGTGCACGTTCGAGGACGCATACGGACGCACATAATCAATCAGGGCTCGATGCATTCTCTGGTTTTCGAGACCTACAAACCGATACTTGTGTAATCTGGCTGGGTCTTTACTACTGGCGATTGTTCGGATATTCCCATGTTTTGTGAGTTATTCACGGACGCTCGTTGCTAGGTTTGATTGGCTCAGGAATTCAAATCTGTACAACTAAATCAACTAATATGATCCATATGAATTCAGTTAGGTTGATGCTCCAGGAAATCGTCTCCACCATGCGACCAGATACATTTCTTGTCTTCGATAATTGCGTATTCCCATATGATTAATTCGCTTGTTTGTGTGGTAGCCAATAAAATGTCAAGTTTCATCTTCCAACGATTCTGTTTTTCTAATGAAACAAATAGTCTTAAGCCAAGTGTTTCTTGTTCGCTTGATGCTAGTTTCGTGAAAGA